CCTCGTGTTTCCGGTGGTGAGGGTCGCTGCACGCGCCAGGCTGAGTTCCTCGTGTTTCCGGTGGTGAGGGTCGCTGTGTGTGCCAGGCTGAGTTCGTCATGTTTGGTGTGGTGAAGCCTGCTGCACGCGCTAGGCTGAGTCCCTCTGTTTTGTGTGGTGAAGGTTGCTGCTTGAGTTCCTCGTGTTTCATGTGGTGAGGGCGCTGTATGCACCAGGCTGAGTTCCTCGTGGTTTTTTTGGTGAGGGCGCTGCACACGCTAGGCTGAGTTCCTCGTGTTTTGTGTGGTGATGGTGCTGTACATGCCAGGCTGAGTTCCTCGTGTTTTGTGTGGTGATGGTGCTGTACATGCCAGGCTGAGTTGCTCCTGTTTCTTGTGTGAGGGTCACTGTATGAGCTAGGCTCAGTTCCTCATGTTTCGTGTGAGTGGGCCTGCCTGGTCGAGGGGACCAGGCAGAATAGAGAGACCCATGGCCATGTCCTGACTAAGGTCAGCCAAGAGAAAGGAAAAATAGACCCAAAGTCAGGCAAGCAAGTTTTCATTAACCTGCCAGCTGCCCCCTTAACAGACAGAGGAAGTAGCCCCAAGCTTACAGAATGAGGGATGTATATTGGGGAGGGGAGTTTGAGGGAGTTCTTTGGTATGGCCGCATCCCAGGGTTGGTTTGTTCTTATTTTTTTTATTTTTGTTTTTGAGACAGGTTCTTGCTCTGTCGCCCAGGCTGGAGTGCAGTGGCACCATCTCAGCTCACTGCAAGCTCCGCCTCCCGGGTTCACACCATTCTCCTGCCTCAGCCTCCCGAGTAGCTGAGACTATAGGCGCCCGCCACCACGCCTGGCTAATTTTTTGTGTTTTTTGTAGAGACGGAGTTTCACCATGTTGGCCAGGATGGTCTCCATCTCCTGACCTCGTGATCCACCCACCTCGACCTTCCAAAGTGCTGGGATTACAGGCATGAGCCACCACGCCCAGCCATCTCAGGGTTGTTTGCTGGTTAATTTTGCCACATATTACCTTGTGATGTTTATGGTAGCAACTAGATGAAGAGCAGGAACTTACAGGAGGGTGTAGGTAAAGTTTGTTTATACTTCCCACGGTCTTCTGCTGTGTGGTCTGGATGGTTTGTAATCGGGGTTTGCTTATTGTAGCAAGGTCTGATGAGTGAAGTCTGCTGGCTCTGCAGCGGCGCCTAGATAAGAGCTTAGAAATGTAAAGAGGCTTGGTGGAAGGGTGGGTGGCACAGAGAAGGGTTGCAGAGCATTAGAGGGAGGAGTGGGCAGCACCAAGAAGCTTTTTTGGGGCAGTTTGTCCCTAACTTCCCAGCCCTTTAATAGGTAATAGAAGAGGGGCGCTGTTGTCGTCTGGTTGCTTCTTGCTGGGAAGGGGCAACAGTTTTTAGGGGCAGACTGGACAGTAGGGACTGCCGTTCTTGAATCTGTTGGTATTCCTGGAGCAGCATCATATCTTGTATTGTCCTGTGGGTGAAGACTCTGATACAGTCCAGTAAAAACTGAGTGAGAAGGTGTAGGAGACAAGGGCTGAATGCTAGAAAAAGAAGAATGGTTATGGCTAGGCCTAGAGGGGCATTAGCCATGGAAACCAGGTACTAAAGGACCAGGAGGACCACGCTGGCCATCAGGGGACATTTTCTTTAATTTTTTGTGCTCAGTCCTTTAGTCTTTTTACAGAATCTTGTACTAAGCTAGATTGGTCACGATAAAAGCAACACTGTTCATCTAGAAAGAGGCGGAGTCCTCCCTTTTTGGCTGTGAGTAGGTCTACGTCTCTGTGATTTTGAAGAACCACTGCTGCTAAAGAATCTATTTGTGATTGGAGAGTTGTAATGGATTTGGCTGTCTCTTCCAAGCTATCTGTGAGGTCCTTGGAGAGGGGTTGGTAATAGGAAACAGGTGGTTAGTCCTGCAGTCTCAGTTCCAACTTCTGTAGTTACTTAGGTATGAGTTGTATCGCACGGCAGTGTCGGATAGGGGTATTGGGGTACTGGGATTGGTAGGGGTTGGTCTCCTAGGGCAAAGTTGATTTTTGGACAGAGGAAAACCAGGGTGCAGGTGCCCATCCAGTTAGAGGGGAGGCAAATATAAGTTGAGGCACCACCTAGGAAAAGTATGCCTTGGCTTGGTAGGCAGAACTGGTTGTGTATGCTAAAAAGATGTACTATTATTCTCATGCGTCCATACTCCGAGGGTCCCGGCTGGAGCTGCTGCTGTAAGTGGTTGTAAAGGGTGTTTGCTTTAGGCTGGGGGCTTTGAGGTCTTTTTCCCCAGTGTAACAGGAAGCGTTTTGTGTCC